GAAAAATGACTTTTGAGAAACATGTAAAGGATTTTAATTGCAATCTTTTTGTAGTTAAGATAATATTTTTAAAAATAAAATATGTACACTACCATTGTGCTTGCTTTCATGGGTGAAACTCCAAGAGATAACTTGCTAATGCTCAGCTAGGACAAGGACTAGTGTTCTGAGTGAAACTGAAAACCAAAACTGGTCATAGAATTGGACTGTTTAAGGCCAGAAGGGACCCCCAAATCATCCAATCTGACATCCTGTGTATCTCAAGTGGCCAACATCCCCCACACTAACTCAGCAACCAAAATTAGTATTACAGCCCACAGAAGACTAAATTATTATATGCCACAGGTAGAGAATAAAAGGGACTGAGGTGCACCAGGGATCAAGGCCTCCTGCAATGGTGGGGCAACAATTAAATGAGCTATAACGAGATAATCCCAGCAAGTGCCCCGGACTTTCATGGTACAGAAGGTGGCAAAAAGCCCTGATAATTCCTTCCTAATCCCACATATGGCACTCAGTTAGACCCTGAGCATGTGAGCAAGAACCAGCCAGCCTAGCATGGGAGAGAGAGTGCTTGGTGCCACCTCAGAGCACTGGCCCACCCTGTCCAATGTCCCATCTCCAGCTGTGACCATCTCTGATGCTTCAGAGGAAGGAGACAAAAAAGGAAATCAGATTTTGGGGGGCGAGCGGGGGGTAAAGGGGGAGGAATCCCTTTCTGACTGTTACAGGTGACTGGCTGAAGCCCTGACGCATGAGCTTTAAGAATGCAAGACATAAACCAGAAAGAACAACCAGGGCTGCCCCACAACCCTGCCCCACACCACCATAAACAACCCTGACATACAGTCCCACACATATACTTTTCCTGCTCTCTTAAAATGAATTAAGTGTTTTTTCCCCCAAAACTATTGGGAAGCTGTTCCAGAACCTCACTCTTCTGATGGTTAGAAACCTTCTAATTTTCAGCCTGAGTACACCCACTTGTTCTTGTGCATGCCAACATTGTTCTTTAGTTTGAATAACTCTTTATCTTTCCTGGTGTTTACCCATGATGTATTTATTGAGAGCAATCATACCACCTCACAGCCTTCTTTTTGCTAGGCTGAGCTTGTGATAGGATTGGGCTGACTGGTAGTACCACTTAGTGGTTAGGTCCCCCCAGATTACAACTCTCCCCTGTCTCTAGCATCCCCTACCAGGGGTCACCCTCTTTTGGTAGCTGGTAACTTGGCCCTCTGTCCAGGTCGTTGTTGAAGTCCACCCTTTTTCTGCGTAACAGAGTTCAAGAAAATATAGAAGTCCAACGTCCTGCAAAAAAGGAGTGTCCAGCCCAACTCCGGACCCAAAAAGCCCCCTTACTTTAGGGCTTACAATGTCTTCACTCTCCTTAACTCAAGGTCAGGGGTTATGCCACCCTTGTGGCTGGCTTATAGGGGAAGCCTGGACTCTTCCTGTCTACCAGGCTTCGGCCCAGGGGTCCTACAATGGCAGCAACGGAGCATACTGGGGTGCTTGATAAGTTTGCCTCCTGGGGCCACATCCTACCACTTATTTTCCCAGTCCAGGGCATGGTCGCAGTCTCACAAACAATCCAAGAAAAGACAGTGCAAAGGGTTTCTTAATAGAATTAAATATAAAATAAATCTGGAGAGATACTGGCTTGTTATTACAAAATATTGTTTGCTTTGTAACTCAAAATGTATTCTTCAATTTAATGAGCATGAGAAATTTTTGAAAAAAGAAGAAAAAGATCTGTATGAAGAAACTTTGTAGTTTGGACATTCAGATGTACATATTAAAAAGCTGCCAATAAAATAACTGGACTTGTGGAAAATACAGTCTTCAATGTCCCCAACATGTGGTTGGCATTATGGTGCATTTACATGAAAATATATGTAGCGGATGAAGGGGAAGTGGCCATTCTAGACAGATTCTCTTTACAAATAGGTGATCTTCAAAGCAGATTTTACGGTATTATAGTTACATACTAACACTGGAGGAAATGGTATGTCTGAAAGAGAAAGTATCCCTATACAGGGAATTTATTTTGAAAAAATTCTACATATATCTCTACAGTCATTTATTTATTATACACATGTAGTTTTAATATCTACATCTATAACTCTGTTTCGGATTCCTAAACGATGTGCAGATTTTGTCCAGGAAAGAGACAATAATTCAACTATATTTTGCAAGCAGCTAACTTATTTTCATGGTCAGTTAAGTGTAGGGTAGCATGGTTAAAGTGTTTCTGCTACTAAAAAACGTTGGATAGAAATCTAATTAGATTTCTACAGTTTTGTTACATTTAGAGGTCAAGTAGTTTTTAGACAAAACAAGATCTTGCAGCTGAGTCTATCACTTAGTTAAGGGTACTATTAACGTCTTTTTCTGTACTTTTAGAAATCTTTAGCTGTCCTTTTAATAAACCAAAAATATTTAGTTTAGTTGTTTAAGATTTCTCATATTGGAAACCTAGACTGCACTTTTTTTATTTTTATACTAATTATAATCCATCAAATTTTTAGATGATGACAGAAAAAAACTCAGAGCAAAGTCTTCACATTTGGGTTCCTAAATCTAGACAATGAAATCCACATTTACACACCTACATAACAGGAATAATTCTGAGAAAAGATAAGCCAAACATCTGCAGCTCACATTGAATTTACCTCCAAAGATTATTAAGGCATCAGTTATTTAGGTGCCTAAATAAAGATTTAAGTGTCTAATTGTTGACACCCAAGTTTTAAAATATTGACTAAAGCTAGTTATTCTGCTTCTACAATATTTCCTCCCTAGATCCAAGAAGAATTTGTTACTGATAAATACGTCTCTTTTTTACATTTTAATTATAAACATGTAGAAATGCAAAACAAATCGTGCATCAAATTACTGAGCTTCACCCAGCTACAGAAGACAGCTGTCCATTCCTATCATACTAAGGTTATTAAAGTTTACCATTGCAGTAAAAACAAAACTAAAAAAGTCTCCTTCACAATGTACAGTGATCAGTACTTAAATTTCTTTCAACCTTTTATTCCTGGACAGCGGTTGGTGAAGTGTCAGTCTCACACTTTGTAAAACAGAAACTTTAAAGGGTCATGACTTTACAAGATGATGAAAACAGTTTTTCCATCATTCTAATTTAGTTATTTCATGAGGCTCTTCATTTCAGCAGCACGCTGTCTTGATGAATCACCCAGGTTTTAAATTTAAAGAAAAAAAATCCGAACAAACCTTTTCAAGGTTAATGATATTCTAATAAAATAATTTGACGCAAACTAAAAAATATTATCTATGTGAATTTGAATTGTTTACGAATTCAAAACCTTGTGCTTTGTGTTCTACTGGCTACAGCTTTATATTCATGAACAGGAATAAACATTACATCAGACCCATTAGCAGAATGGATCAGAGATCTGTACCACCTTTTTATTTGTAAATAGAATTTTGATAGTATCTTAGCAATGAAACAGGCAAAATGATGGTGGATGGTTTTACTTACAAACCAAAATAGCGTAAATAATATATTAAAGATAGTTGAGAAGTTCTGTTAAGATGTCTAATGCTATGTTTATGCCTTTACATGGGTATTTAAACCAGTTTCTTTGAAGGGGCTATTGGTATGCAATCAGAATCCTGGTACTATATAAATTAAAAAGGAAAGGATGTGTGGCCTCGATCTTTTTTTGGTACATTAATTTATATTCCTCATGACTAGCAATGGAATGATACTAAAAGGACATGATTCAACAGAAAATACATCCAGCTATTGTATTGTGGAAGTCTATGGAAGTCTGCTAAATGCCAATTGATTTTATATAGTTTCAGATGTCAAATCAGGCGCAAGCAAATATAAAAGATACCCTTGTAAACGTTACATGATGTAAACATTGTAATTGATTTTTTTATGCTGTTAAATGAATGATCCAGAATGCTATGCTATTTAAGTTTTTTAAAACTGTATTATTGGCAATTCACACCAGATTTGAAATATATTCATAGGGCTCAAATATATTTGGGAATTTATGATTTTTCTGGCATGTCTTTAAAAGTTGGCTTTTACCTGTTCAATACCAACTAGTCAATTCAACAATTCACTCTGATTTAGAGCAAAATGAACAGCCTAAGCGCTAGTGCGTTTACTACTCTCACTAATATGTTCTCCAGAAGTATGTTTTCTTATTTTACTGAGTTGAATTTGGAATATGCACCCAGATTTATATTTTGCACTGAAAGTGAGTTGTCCATTTTTTTCTGAAGTCTGAATGTACTACAACCCATTCAGTACTTTTTCAATGCAAAAGTATGTGATCCCCATGGGGTATTTGCATACAACAGATTTTTTTCCTCTCTTTTTAAAAATAGGATTCAACCTCTCTCTTTTTTTAAAATCAGGCTCAGAGCTGTGGGGTTTCTATTTTATTTTATTTTTTTACTCAAACTAATAAAATCAGGAGACTGTGGTGAGATCTAGCGGCATGCAGTTTGATGTCCTCAGCAGGATACCAACAGTCAGAAGTGGTGCTGTAAATTCAGTGTGGGGCTTCAACACTGTGCTAAGTGTGGCCTGAATCTCAGGGGCTTCCCTTTGATGCAAGTGCAGTATATTAACTGGAAAAGCATTCACTTTTATTTGTCTGTACTGTCTGCGACAGCAATATCGCCTCATTTAGACTAGTTCAACATGAAAATACACAGAGAAGCAATCTGTTACAAATTAGCATAGCTCCCCTTTCATTTTACTAGCTAGTAATTGGAAGGGGTTAAGAAAGTGTAATTTATCAGATTATATGTGTTTATCTTTGTGTGGGGACAGCATGCCTTTGGTGAATTTTCCTGCGTACCCTGAGGGAATAATCTTTCCTTGATGTCCATTTGATCTGAAAGAAAACAATGACGCCTGTGAAATATGGGAGTATAATTTGTTCGGTTGAGAAGGAACAGTTTCCCAGACATCTGAAATAGTATTAATGACTTTATTAGAACCTTACCTTTCTTTGGAAATGTTTTTATTCTCTCGTTTCCAAATGGTCTTGAAGTCACTGCAGAACTCGTACCACACAGTGAAAACGTAGTTTGGTGTGATGTCCTTCTCACCAGACTTTGGCTTTATCCCAAAGTATCCCACTGTTTCTTCAAAGCTACAGGGGAAAAAAAAACTGTCAACACGTAAAACCCATTGGGGAAGCTTAGTTTCCCTGAGGGCTGGTTCCTGACTCAGTAGCCAAGGCTGATAATTACCATAACTTCCCCTTAACTTTGGAAACCATAGCAGCAATTCATGCCAAGTGTAACTAACCTTCCAACACCTACCTTTTTCCTCTAGGAGGAGAATTTTTGTGTGTGCGCATAAGACATCACTGACGTATATTATGTACGCAAAGCAAAAGGCACTCATTTTTAATAATCATTATTTATTTACCTGAATTTCAAGTTAAACTTATTAAGATTTTTATTCTGCAAAGCTGAAAGGGGAGCTATTTTGGTGTGAGTTATCTGATTAAAGGCTGACAGGAGAGTTGTATGCCAAACCAGAAATAATTAGCTGCCAAAAGGAAATCAAGTGTCACCTGATCTCTAGTTTAGAGACTTTCAGGTAGTGATGGAGCTCAGTGCAGCAGCACAAATGCAACAGTCAGTGCCAACAGCTAGTCTGCAAAGAGATAACACAACCAAAGTGATTCATGCCTTCCCAGGGGGCTAGTAAGCTGAAAAAAGCAGTAATAATAGGCTAGTTTTATTGCCAGTGTTGTTATACGTTACTATTCTATATTACAGCTAAAGCATTTTTGCAGTGTATCTGAGTATTTCTAAAAGACTCTTTTCCTGTTGAACATAGTTTTGTGGTATTTTAAGTTATTGTGCAATATGCATTTGAGCCATTATTGTATCACATTTCACAGATAAACAGGTAATTGATTCCATGATCATGGTTATGAGATGTGCAACCTGAAACAATAGAATCTACAAATTCTTTTTGCTTTTGTTAAGGTTGAATCAGTTTTCTTTCCAAATTAGAAATATCTGTCAGGGTAGTTTTGCTGATAATGATTAAAAACAATGTCATGGCTTAACAGTAAAGGCAACATAAGAAAATCTTTCAAGAGAATTCACTTTTCTTGAAACTCCAACTACATTTGGGGAAGGGGAGGTAATGTGCTTGTTAACATCTACTGATGGTTCTTAATTCTTGAATATAGGAAGCTAAACACTTGAAAACAAAAGGTTTTTTAAAAAGTGTACATGGCCTACAAACAATAAAATTTAAGTTCAACAAATGGCCTTCAACTCATCTTTGGGCAGATATCTCATCCCTTATTAGCGGATTCATTTACACAGATCCACATTATGGGATAGAGTCATAAAAAGAACTTAGGTGCCTAACTGATACTTTAGACACCTAAATCCCAGAATCAGGTCCCACTGGAATTCACAAATCCCTCATTCAGCTGCCACCAAATCCTATAGGTGCCTAAACTCACAAAGCGCCTATATGTTTGTAGTAAAATTTCCCTGGGCACATATGTTTCTGTCCATGAGCATGACACAGCAACTCCATACCAGGTGTCCAGACACATATGTCCCAGAGTGATTTACAAACTGGGGAAAGACAGGCGTTTCTCTGGCTAACTCACTTCCAGGGTCCGATCTGGTAGGCAAACTCTGAGCACATTTACTAGTTTGAGCTGCTATAGGTGAGCATACACTAAACAGCCTTCCCCAACCCCAGGATTTATTGCAGTAACAGCACAGGTACCTAACTCCAATAGAGGGTTTGCAACTGAGAATCCCAAGTGCCTCCCTGAAGCTTGGATTTAGATGTTTATCTCCAAAAGAAGGATGGGGTTTAGCACTCACTCCTTCTCTTGGCATCTCCCATTGGCTAGTTTAGGTGAAAGAGCTGCCTAGCATACTGGCTTTTGTCAATTTCATTCTGATGCACCTTTCTCCCTCTATTCATTGTATAGGGAGCCTAGAGGCCTAATCCAGGCTTTAAGAATTAGGCATGGGATGCATGGTGATGCTGAGTGTTGCCACACCTAAATTTTTTGTGTATCTAGCCCCATGTGTTTATATGGAAATTCCATGGTTAAGGTTGAGTTTTGCACTTAAAGCAGGGCTTTAACCACTTTGCTATGTATGAAGAATACAGAGTATATGCCTCAAAATTACAGCAAAAAGAAAACGAGTACTTGTGGCACCTTAGCGACTAACCAATGCTCAAATAAATTGGTTGGTCTCTAAGGTGCCACAAGTACTCCTTTTCTTTTTGCGAATACAGACTAACACGGCTGTTACTCTGAAACCTGTCAAAATTACAGCAGTTACTCTGGGGAAGCCAGAGCATATACTGTAGCTGCTTTGCAAAATAAAGCACCTGGAAATTCAGTTGCACCGGTCAGTATACTTTGGTGATTTGTGCTTCTCCAGAGTGGCATTGAGTAGCAAGAGCTACTCTATGAATAAGAGTTAAAAATTAGAAAATGATTTAAGGTTAATAATTCATATCTAGCTGATGCATCTTTAAAAATCACTTTAACATAATCGAGGATCACAGATTCTAAAATGCCTTCATCAGAATTAAAAGTTGATAACATGGTATCACTACAGGGCAGAGTTAAGGAAATCTGATTGCCCTAACTGTGCAACTCCTGCTAGGGGAGCAGAGGCAGGAGAAAAAGAGGAACCATTATAGGAGGGAGACAATTCCTTCTAAGTTTCCACCTTTATATAGCACCAGTTGCACTAACACAGTCCCCTGCCTCAGGTCCCAAAGTAAATTCCTGGCCTAACCATCCACCACCCTCAACATTTCCACTGAATCCCCCACCTTCCCCTCTTCCCAATTTCATCCTCTATCACCCCTCCCTCCTATATAGCCCTGCTCTCGCCCACCTTGTGCCTTCTGCTGCCCAGTCTGCCTCCAGGCTTTTATAAATAACTATTGCCCATTAAAAGTGAATAATAGATCCTTTCAACTACATCCTTTCATATCCTGGAGGATTACTTGGCAAATTTTTCTATATATTTTTAAAATAATTAAAATAAAAAAAAACCAAACCTGTTTCCCAGATAACTAAAACCAATCAGCCAATTGCAAAGTAAGGGCCAATTTATCAGTACCTCTAGCTGCTTTGCTCTGCACCAGAATGGTGCAAAGCAGCTAGAACGTAACTGAGAATCTCACGCTAATAGTTTAAATGATTTTTTAAATGATTTAAGGCTGATATTGTATAGATTCAAATCATTACAAATATCACGTGGTAGGATTTTCTTTGTTTTTTGTTTGTTTGTTTGTTTACTGTTCATGTATGACATTTTGAATAGGTTAAAAAAATGCTAAGAAACTCTGAAACAAGAAACTATTAAAATGGAATTAAGGTTGAGAGTCCATAACAGTAATTTGGGGTAAAATATATCACAGGTAAACAACTTAAACACTCAGGACTCTGCCCTGTCATATAACTAGCAAGAGATCAGTACAAATAAAATTAGACTGTATAAAATTTATTATCTTAATTTTGTACTTTTAAATTCTACAGACCCTGAGCCAGACCTTTAGCAGAGGTATACTGACATATCTCCATTGTCTTCAACAGAGCTATGCTCATTCATGCAAGCTGAGTATCCAGACTTATATTTTCTTTTTCAAGCACTATTGGTAATGGGGAATTACTATCTCTTTGCTAATTTAAATCACCTTCAGTCTCCACACTTAATATTAGGAGATTGAAAAGAATAATTAACAGCTACAGATGGGAAAACTTTAGTAAATACTCATCCATCATTTTAAACTCAGAGTAGCAAGGCTTTTATTTTAGAGCTACACAGATACAACACACTTTAACAGTGAATGATTTGCTAGCGAATATAATACCAGTAGTAGATTTGACTGCATTCTAAGAAGGAAAACAGAAAATTCTTGTATGTAAAATTTTAGTTAGTCATGGAGAAAAAGTAAAAGAGACACAGTAACTCTGAACAGTTTTAGATGAAAGCGTTTTCAAATGTTACATTTTCCAATATTGCATATCAGATATACATCTCAAGCCTGCAAGATGAGCATATAATGCAATGCACACATACAGAGGCCACAATAAAGATGAATATGCTATTTCTCATCAGGACTAAATTTGTGCTGACAAATCTACATCTGTCTTTCAGATAATATGTTAAGACAAGCCCCTAACCTCATTTGGACAATGAAGATCTGGCTTCATTTTCCCAAAGAGATAACTCTTGGCTTGGGAGTGAGACAAGAAGCATTGCAATATACCTGTGCTTTGCTGTTTGTTTGTAATAATGACCGTTGATAAGCTGACCCCCGCTCTCTGGTGCTTCACTTTTTTACCAAAAAAATTTGGCTTATGAATGAGTATATACGGTACTTTTTCCGGATTAGCAATGTCATGTCTGATGTGGTCTATTACTTGGGTTTTTTATGTGTGCCCTTCAAAACTTCTGAAGAAAAGTAAATATTTTATCCTGTATCAACACTATTCTCCTAAACAAGTTAGAGCTTACTGAATCTTATTTGAATATTGCAAAAACCCTTCAAAGAACATGATGAGCCAAAACTGTAGTTTTTACAGATAAGAATAAATCTAACATTTTTCATGTACAAGAGCCAGGCAATATCTTCAGCATAAAGCTACTAAAAATGCTAACAACTAAAATTTGTCTCATTCAGCTCATTTACAAATAGCTGTACAGCTAGCATACAGCAACATGGAAAGTAGAAGCTCCACATGAACAAAATTTAACAAGTAATACAATCTGTAATCTATTTTAAAACTATCGACTTCACTGACTTTTCCTCCCTATGCCTGCCTCCCCTTACCAAAATATGACATGAATAAATGCTCTTACATTAATTTTTTTTAAATTTCACAAGCTTCTAGTATGGTCTATTTCACAATCTAGGTGATGAATGAGTAAAATGAGGCCCCTCTATTCGACATTGGTGAGGCCTCATCTGGAGTACTGTGTCCAGTTTTGGGCCCCACACTACAAGAAGGATGTGGAAAAATTGGAAAGAGTCCAGCGGAGGGCAACAAAAATGATTAGGGGACTGGAACACATGACTTATGAGGAGAGGCTGAGGGAACTGGGGATGTTTAGTCTTCAGAAGAGAAGAATGAGGGGGGATTTGAGAGCTGCTTTCAACTACCTGAGAGGTAGTTCCAAAGAGGATGGCTCTAGACTGTTCTCAGTGGTAGCAGATGACAGAACAAGGAGTAATGGTGTCAAGTTGCAGTGGGGGAGATTCAGGTTGGATATTAGGAAAAACTTTTTCACTATGAGGGTGGTGAAACACTGGAATGCGTTACCTAGGGAGGTGGTGGAATCTTCTTCCCTAGCAGTTTTTAAGGTCAGGCTTGACAAAGCCCTGGCTGGGATGATTTAGTCGGGGATGGGTCCTGCTTTGAGCAGGGGGTTGGACTACATGACCTCCTGAGGTCCCTGCCAACCCTGATATTCTATGATTCTATGAAAATGGCACCTCAGTACATTTTCACTGAACAAAACTGAATTATTAAATTATTCTGAGAGACCAAGATTCAATTCGCTTATGAAAAAAAAATTAAAACTGCATACTCAGATTATTTGGTTCAAACCACTTGGTTCACATCCTATTCCGCAACATGACATAAGAACGTATGACACTGAGTACTGTTTTGAACTACAGTAGCCTTTCCTATTTCATTCCTGTTGAATTCCTAGAATCAATAACATATTACATTTTGGTCAAATATCTGTTTGAAAGGACTGGAGAAGTTACCTTTTTTGTGCATTTTCCAAACAGCTCTCTTCTGTCTTATGTTCTTCTTTAGCTGCAAATGGAAAAATATTGGTATTTTAAATACGGATTTGACTATTGTACTTTGTTTTAAAGTATTCTTTGTAGTACACATTTTTTTATGTTCAGGTTTGATGGCTTGCATAATACAGATAACAATAAACATTTCATTATTTTTCAACCATTGGCCCATATTTTTAATAAGTGAGTTTTTCAGTAGGGAATACTCAGATTTTGAAAGTAATGTTTAAAATAGTTAGCGGGGCTAAGATTATGTCACAGAGGTTGCAAAAGTCACAGAATCCATGATTTCCAGCGACCTCCATGATACTGGGGACCCCAGAGCAGACCAGCCTCCGTGGGCAGCAGAGGGACCCCGGAGCTGCTCAGTGGCTGGGGGTAGGGAGGGCTCCCAGACGCTGGCAGTGACAGAGGGACCCCAGAGCTGCTCAGCAGCCGGGGGCCCCCAGAGCTCCCCAGACTCCACCGCTGGCAGAGCCCCCCCAGCAGCTCTCAGCCCTGCTGGGTGGTGGGGGACCCCTCCCAGCCACTGGGCAATGGGGTCCCTGCAGCTCCCAGCCTCTGCGGGGGGGGGAAGAGGGGGAGGAAGGTGCAGCAGGGTGCTGGATCCTCCCTCCCCATTTTGTCAGGGACGTTTTTAGTAAAAATCAGGGACAGGTCACGGGTTTCTGTGACTTTTTGTTTATTGCCCGTGACCTGTTCATGACTAAAAATATCCATGACAAAATCATAGCCTTAAGCATATTATATCGCAACTTCTTCCTATGTAATGCAAATTATTTTTATTTCCATTTTAAAAATAACTCACTTATCTAAGTTTCCTCTATTATTAGAGACAAAAACCTGTAAGATTAACGTTATGTCTACACTGCACACCTTAGAACACCACAGCTGTGCCACTGCAGCTGTGTCGTTGCAAGGTGCATGATGTAGCGGCTCTTTGTCAACAGGAGAGAGCTCTCCTAGTGAGAAAATAAAACCACCCCCAGTGAGGGGCAGCAGCTTCATCACTGGGACAGCATCTCCTGCTGATGAAGCGCTGTCCACACCGGCGCATTCTGCCGGTAAAACTTCCGTCATTCGGGGTGTGTGTTTTTTTCACACCCCTGAATGACAAAAGTTTTAACGATGAAAGTGCTGTGTAGATATGCCCTTAATCTGTTCTTACAGGATGTACCATTGGATTTGCTGGACAGACACTAAAGAGTAGTTAATAACTTCATCCATTTCACACTAATACTACACTTTGTTCAGAAAGCTGGCAAAGTGGAAATATATGTCCCAAAATTATGATATACACTCTATATTTGCTTTTTAGAAACCATCGCCAAGATTTTTAAAAGTAACAAGTGATTTTGGATGCTTCAGTTGCTGAATACCCATTTGAGACACTAGAAGTAGCCTGATGTTCAGAAATGGAGGCTTTGCACTTTCTGAAAAGGTTTCTCAAATTCTAAAATGGAGGCACCCCAGATCATTAACCACTTTTCAAAATCTTGGATGCTTCTTCTACATTCAATGTATGGTGGAACCCACTTACGTTTAATTTGGATAGAGCAAAATTCCACCTACAGGAGACATCTGCAGTAGAAAAATGTGTACTCCTATACCAGCAATAGTGCAGCTTGCCTGGTATAAGTCCTAGTGTTAACAGGACTCAGAAGTTTTAATGACACAGAGATAAAGAACTCTGTCTTGATTCTGTCCAAAGAGTCCTCACTACAGTAGAGCCTACATTAGTGCTACTGCATCACTGACAACTGTTGACAACTGTCTATGGTTATAAATTTTTTCTTTTAGTGTAGACAAAGCCATAGTGAAGTGGACTAAAAGTCCTGAATTCCTTCTTTGCATTACAATGAACTTTGACTTTTCTTAGGCCATGTCCACACATAAACTTGCAACCATTTAACTAAAGACTTGCAACCATTTCACTAAAGGTTTGATTTTAAACCAATGTAATTAAACAGGTAAAATGCCTTGGTGTGTACACACTGATTTCGGGCTGAGATGACTGGTATATATCAATTTAGCTTAAACTGATTCTTTACCAGTTCAGATAAACTGAAATAAGCCACTTTTAAATGAAAATAAGAGTGTCTACAAAGGATTTTGCACCAATTTTAAATTTTAAACCAATTTAAGTTAAACCAGTGCAACACTCTTATGTAGACAAGTGGTTTACACACAAACTGGAACTGAAGTAACCAAAAAGGCTATTATCTACACAATAAAGTTGCACTGGTTTAATTTAAAGCTATGCCTATACTACTAGCCCTGTTGAAGCATAGCTATGGTGCTGTAGCTATGAGCAGGTCTACACTTAAAAGGCTGCATTGGCGCAGTTGTGCTACTGTAGTGCTTACACTGATGGGAGAGCTTTTCCCATTGGCATAGTGAATCCACCTCCCTGGGAGGCAGAAGCTATACCAACGGGAGAAGCTCCCCTGTTTATATGGTGCTGTCTACATGGGGTGGTTAGGTTGGTCTAACTATATTGCTCAGGAGTGTGGATTTTTCACCCCCCCCCCCCCCCCCGAGTGATGCAGTTACACTGCTCTAGCTCTGTAGTGTAAACCTGGCCTATTTCGCTGCAAATCCATAAAGTAGACACAGAATACGTCAATGGAAAGAGTTGTTCTGTCACTGTAGGAACTCCATCTCCCCACCCAAGTGATGGTAGCTAGGTTGACAAAAGCATTCTTTTGTAGACCTAGCTGTCTCTGTATCAGGCATTAGGTCACCATAGTTACAGCACTCAGGGGTTTGGATAAATTTTAAGTGTAGACCAGCCCTACAATATGATTTTAAGCCAATTTAGTTTAACAGGTGCAAAAAACATTGTGAATGCTTATATTTTGGTTTCAAATAGGATTACATAGATTTGATATACTTGCTTATATTCAGTTTGATTTAAGATGAACCAAACTAAACCATTCTTAAACTAAAATAAAGATATCCAAACAGGGGTTTGCACTCATTTTAACTAAACCATTTAAAAACTGACAAGGTAAACTAGTGTATTGCTGCAAACAGAGAAGGCAAAAACTGGTTTTAATTCACAGCTTTTGTTATTCTTCTGCAAGTCTGTGTGTAGACACTCTTATTTCAGCTTAAATGTGTCCTATTTGGATTTAAGTTGATTTTAACTATTTAAACTAAATCAAAATAAGACACTCTTAACCCAAAATATCTGTCCACATAAATGTACATCCAAAAACCTAAAAGTTTGAATTAAAACTGATTAATGGCTTGTCTACAAAAGAAAGTTAGATTGGTTTAATTTAAATTGGTTTTTGAACCAATGTAGTTAATAGTGTGCCACAGGATGGCTGGCCCCAGTACAAGCAATAGAACCAGCGCCTCTGTGCCAGAGCAGGTGCTCCCATTTGGCCAAATAAGAGGGTGGGGCAGCACCTGGGGGACATAAAAGGTCAGAGAATCCTGGTAAGAATCAGCCAGGAAACTGACACAGGTCTTTGGGGGAAAGCTGTGGAGAAGAAAGCTTGCTGCAGGCCCTCCCTGGGAAGAGGGAGGAATTGTATAGGAGACTGTATGTTTGGGACCTGGGAGAAGGCTGAAGTTCAGGAAAGCAGCAGGAGGGGTTTGCTGGCTGGCACCCCAAAGCCAGAGCAGGGCTGGAGGGGCAGCAGAGGAGAATTGCCTGCTGGTTCTAAGCTGGAGAACCAGAGCCAAGGGCCAGAGAGGGCTGAAGGCAGGAGAACAGTGGAGGGGCTTACCCCCGACATCCACAGAGCAAGAAGCTGGACCCAAAGGAACCGTGAGAGGCCAAGGAGAGTGAGGGATGCTCCACTGGTTAGGATGCTCCCAGCAGAGAAGCTGGGGGGTTGCCACTGGGAAAAACAGGGTTGCGCTCCAGGGAGGTCGACATTCAAAGTACCTGGCTTACTGGCTGGGGAAAACCTCTCTGACTGCTGGGACAGAGTTGCTGGGACTGTATGTTGCATGTACCGTTGGACTATGCTGGAGGAAATCTAGACCATGGTTGTGGGACTCTTCTTATGATTTATGCGTATGGAACTTTTGTAATAAATTCAGAGGTGCTCACTTTCCAGAGTGCCAAGGGTTGCTCGCCCTCTGGCCCTGCCCCAGGCCCTGCCTCCACTCCACCCCTTTCCCCTAGGCCCCACTCTACCCCCACCCAGCCTCTTCCTGCCCAGTTCTGCCCGTGAGCGCGCCGTGTCCTCGCTCCTCCCCAGCCTCCTGCATGCTGCAAAACAGCTGTTCATGGTGGACGGGAGGTGCGGGGAGGGAGGAGGAGGTGCTGATCCATGGGGCCCACTGGTGGGTGGGAGGTGCTGGGGGCTGGGCTGCTGGTGGGTGCTCAGCACCCACTATTTTTTCCCTGTGGGTGCTCCAGCCCCTGAGCACTCATGGAGTCAGTGCCTATGAATAAATTAACCTCACAAGGTCCATATTTATACTTGGAAAGACTGTGGATTATTTCATGGGATTCTAAAGGAGAGAAACTGAGGCAGACGAGCCTGTGGTGCTGTAGGAGAGCGCTCCAGACAGGCCTGCCTTATGACAGTGCAAAAGGCTGTGTGGATACATATTCTGGTTTAGACTAGACTTATTTTACATTGGTTTTAGTCAATTAGGAACTGGTTTCCATGCAATTGACATAAGCCATGCAGTCTGTGAGAGTTCACAGAGCCTTCTGCACCAAGTTAACTAAACTAGATGAAAAACCCCTGAAAGTACGTGCAGACAAGCCCTTAGTTCCCTCAGTCTAGGTTGTCTCATGGTACTCCTCTTGAAATGCAGCTATTGTCACCCTGGACATAGGTGTCAAGTGCTACATTTCAAGTGAAAGATCATTTCCTTGTTTGCTCAGGGTGAACAAAAAAGAATAAAAAAAATTGCCATTATCCCATGAGACGAGGAGTGCAATATAGTTCCTGGCTCCTGACCATCCACTAATAAAGTGGATGGTGGCTAATAAAGAGTAAGAAAGATGTAAAACTGGACTTCAGCTATGTCTACACTACA